AGAGTGGGAGGAAAATGTGGACAGAGAACTCGGAACCCACAAGGGAAGCCACAGCTTACTGGTTGGACAAGATAGTGGAGCTTTCCAAACAAATGCCCTCAGGGCTGAAATGAACTCACCTCCAGGGTGGTTTACAGCTAAAGGTCCATAAAGGCTTACCATCTCTATATAGGTAAACACAGCTGGTGAGGTGCGCACATCTTAGAAAAATCAACCATTTGAGATCAAAAGGACATCCTTTTTACCTAAGGATGCAGTTCAGAAGGCTTTGGAAATCAGAATGGTAACAGGAGACAAAGGAAGTGGGACAAGTGATGTGACATTGCGGGGACTGCCATTAGTGACCGGAAATAAAATGTGTATTAAGCAGAGTTAAATGGTAAACCTCCACCCAATTCACAATTTAAAAGAGAAAGGTGGGGGAAAGCCTTCAAGACAAAGCCTTGTGCCTGGTTCCGCTTCGCGCCCCCAAAACCCTTACACCTTGTACAACGTCCCGCTTTTTAACAATTTTTCCCGTGTCCCGCGGCGTTTTAAAAAGGTCCCAATTTTCGGAAAGAATGCACGACAAGCTAGGGTATACAGTTTCCGACTGCCATGTGGCTATTTCGCCAGGATATGAGTTTATCAATGGTGTCCCGCTTTACCGATGTTAAAATCTGGTCACCTTAGCCAGGTTCACATAAGACGTTCATAAACGTGGCTTAGGCTGAACAAAGCCCGGGAAGGGGTCTCCTTAGAAGGGCAATTTGCACCATCAGGCTTGTCTAGAGGCAGGAATACGGGGTGACCATGATGTCATCGCCTCCTCTCCTTGTGAAGTCAAAATCCAGTGACGCCCACATCATTCAGGGATAAGGCCTCCCGTTCGTCTTTATATCAGGGCGCCGCCCACCTTTGGCCTTGGCCTGCATCAAACACCTGCGGCTCTCAGCTATACCATGCCGGCGACCCCAAATCAGCCGCCAGGGCCAGGTTCCAGCTCTTGAAGGCCCGGCTCGCGGGCGAGCCGGGCTGGCCCTCTCCTTCCGGCTCGCGCTTGGCCTGCTAGGAATTGTAGTTCCGTCGTCGGGGAACCGCGCCGAGCCGCTGCTCTTTGTCTCCTACCCGCCCCGGATGAGTGGACAGAATGGGGACGACCGGCTGGGAGTCAGACAACGAGGGACTACAATACCCAATGGACCGTCGGCCGCAGAGCCCAGCCCAAGGTTAGCGGGCGGGGCGCCCTTGCGCATGCGCACGAACCCC